TAAGGGCCCATCCGAATGTGTCTTCATGGCAGGCTGCCACTGCTTTAGCTTTTGTCCCATCAACTCCTTGCAGAGCCACCATATAAGTCTTTATCTTTTCAACTGCATGGCAGTAGAAGACGGCATGCACATAGGTCACCTTATGACACACAGTGAATTTGTTGCCTGGCAGCTCCTTCACTCCAGGAGTTATTAAGTACTTCAGCTCTATTTTTTCCACCTCTGCTGCGATTGCTCGAACAGTTTTTTCCTAACGTGGAGGTGGCAAAGTCAATCATCGACTCTAACGAGGTGGCACACTGTTTTGCTTCATTTCTTGTGACTTGATGAAGTTCACAATATTGAATAGTACTGTTAATCAGATTGGCTGCCTCAAACTCCGGTTTGTAAGGAGTAATCAATCTAAGGGTTATACTCTTGACCAGTGTCATAAGATTAGACAAGTAGTTAGGAGTTTGTTAAATAGCTACCTTAGTTGTATAAATACTATAAGGCTTTTTATATTAGCATCCCACAAAATGTTGAATGCAACTCACATTAAATTTAATATTAAATGACTTATTTACCTTACTATGCAATGATAATTTTGACCTTATTAGGCTTTTTTAAAAAAAAAAAATTCTAAATACACCCCAAATCACTTTTAGCATATTATTTATCTTCTCAACTATCAAAACCCTCACACCATCCATTGTTGAACAAAACCCTAACCAATGAAACTACAAACATGTTGATTGAGAAACATCTTCATTTATAGCTACTATTTGGTTGGGAACATATCCTGCAAGTTTCAAGCAGCCGAAGTGCAAAACGAGAAATGGCCGTTGTTTTCAGAAGAATACTCTTCCCCTGTTTTATATCAGAGCTTGTGAAGGCAGATCAGCAACTTCTAGCTGGACTCGTCATCATGAAATTTATGCACACAAATGCATCGCTCGGTCTTGTTAATGTTGCGGAGGCGAGTCTTAATCGATTTTTGGAGGTGGCGCTCTACATGACTTGCTTGATGAGATGCATTCATCGGAAGCATTGAACAATATTGTTTACAGTTTGAGAGGCAAGTTGGACAATATGAGGTGTATAGAAAATGTGGGATGTATAGAAAATATAAGGTGTATATTGAGAATGTGGGGTGTAGGGGTATTATGGGAAAGTATGTGGGGTGTATTAAGATAATTTTTCAATGAAAAAGCAAATGTGGGTGTATTAAGTATGTGGGGTTTATTTACAATTTGTGAAGTGTTAATATATGTTAATGTAAATAGTTAAGGAAAAAATCAATACAAAACAGATTACTTCTTCTCTAAGAACTCTCTCTCTCTCTCTCTCTCTCTCTCTCTCTCTCTTTCTCTCTCTAAGTCTGATGTGTTCATTCTCTGTTGCATAAGATTAGGTCTGGCAAACGGGTCGTGTCTATCGTGTTCATGTCGTTTTCGTGTAACACCTGTTATCTAAACGGGTCGTGTCGTGTCACACCCGTTATCTTAACGGGTCCTTAACAGGTCGTGTCACTTTACCGAACGGGTAAAGTGACCCGACCCGTTATGACCCGTTAAGAAAAAAAATATTTTTTTAAAATTTGCACATACCACACATTGCCACATAAATATTACTTCAAAACATTAAAACATTTCTCGTTCAAGTACTATAACTACACTCGAAAATAAAAGCCTAATAAAAAAATAATACATACACTACTAATCTATTACAAATATTAAATGTGCAAGGATAAAGAATTTTTGTTTTTAAGATTGTAAGTCTTTCTCAAAAGTTTACACCTCCATTTACAAAATCTTCAATTTACATCGATCATCATGAAATTGTATTGGAACTTTGGCTTGATCTATTGCCTTTAAGAGTTATGTTGAAGATGTTTTCAATAAGGTTTTCCACGTCAGAACTCTCTTTCGCATAAACTAAGTATAGAAAAACCAAACATTAAAAATCATTCAAATTATGAAAAGTTTACCAAAATAATTATGAAAAGAAATAAAATAATAATACTATACCATATAAAAATATATTACCTCCTTTTCCAAATAACCAATCTCGTGTGCACAACAAAGCTTGAGCCATTTCTGGTAACAATGAACTACGATACTGATCTAGTACTCTACCCCCAATACTAAATGCAAATTCTGATGCAACAATTGAAATGAGAGTCGTTAACACATCTCGTGCTAACTGAGAAAGTATCGGATAATGAAAACGCTCCATTTGCCACCAAGAAAGAACATCTATGTCTACTTTTCTATCTATTCTTTTATCCTCCAAATACTTCTGCAATTCATTTTTTTCAATCGAACTTGAACCATCATAATTATTATCAAAATCCTACATCATAAAAAATCATGCATCATGTCAATTTCAAATATAATTTTAAAACTTATTATAGTACTAATACTACAATCTACAAATATATAAAGTAAATAAAAACAAACTTAGGTTACCTCAAAGATAACATCTACAGATTCTGTTTGATGAATAGGCACTGAATTCACTGCAGTATTTTAATAAAAAAAAATATATATATAATTATGAAATGGACGGTTGAGATTTAATCTCAGCCGATCCAATGGTCATCAATTTTTAAATTTAATTTAATATATATAATTATATTATATAATTATTATAGTTTTTACTTTTTAGGGATATAAAATTGTTATATTAATGTATATAATTATTAATATTATAGTTGATTCATACTTTTATTAAGTATATAAATTATAACATAAGATTTTGTGATATCCACATCCATATTTTAAATTGAAGATCAAATTTATTCTTTGTATTCATATAGGGTCAAGGAGTGTAGCTGTAAAAATTCATCAAAATCATAGTTAAAATAACCGTTAAATCTTGATTTTTCGTTTATAATCGTCGAAAAGCTTTATCCCGTTACTTGATCTCTGAATGTTTTTTTTTTTTTTGTGATTTTTTGCTGATGTGATCTCCAAGCATATATAAACAATTTTGACGGTTTGGATTGTTGAAATTAGTTTTGGAGAATTCGTATCCCATCAAAACGATAGATTGACTAACACTTAGAGTTTATTTATACTTTCATTAAGTATAACATAAGATTTTGTGGTATCCACTTGTGTAAATATTTTAAATTGAAGATCGAATTCATTCATTGTATTCATAGAGGTTCAAGGAGTGTAGCTGTAAAAATTCATCAAAATCGGAGTTAAAATAACCGTTAAATCTTGATTTTTTGTTTATAACCGTTGAAAAGCTTTGTCCTGTTACTTGATCTTTGAATGTTTTTTTTTTTTTGTGATTTTTTGCTGATGTGATCTCCAAGCATATACAAACAAGTTTGACGGTTTGGATCGTTGAAATTAGTTTTGGAGAATTCGTATCCTATCAAAATGATAGATTGACTAACACTTAGAGTTTATTTATACTTTCATTAAGTATAACATAAGATTTTGTGGTATCCACTTGTGTAAGTATTTTCCTTAACAGATAACAGGTCGGGTCATATTACCTGATAATATTAACGAGTCAATTTCGGATCAGATCATATTACCCATTTACTTTAACGGGTGTTAAACGATACGATCCGTTAAGATATCGGATATGATACGAATGTTAGGTCTACTCATATAATTAGCCTCTTTTATAGCACTTACAGGTGTTTTGTAATGTTTTTAGGCCCAAAAGTTTTACTAATTTTGGGGTCTTGTTTTCTAATCCTATAAACAAAGGCTCACTGGGTCTTAAAAAAGAAGCTATTGGACCAAAACAAATTGTTTCATTTCAGTAGTTGGACCAAACCAAAACAACCAAAATGACGTGGTTTATGATTTAGGGCTTTTAATTTCTTTTTCCCTTCTTCTTCCACTCTCCGCTGCAATCTTTGCCATCCAAGCTGCACCGATGATTTCAATCCATTCTTTTGCCGTTTCCAAGCCGCATCGACCGTTTTCAGGCAAATCTAGTTGCTCTCGCTCTCATATTGTGATCGATACCGATCTAAAGAATGGATGCTTTACACATTTATTCAGTTTGGTTTGCACAATTGACCTTGATTTAGGTGGTCCCACCTATGAAATTCCTAATATACTATGATGTACTCCATATTAAATTATAAAAAAAATTTATGTAACGATATATTTACATTAAGAAGAACAGTGAATCCTAATATGAAGTTTGATTATGATTAGTTAATGTTGTCGTTAGACAATAGGATTTGCCTAACATTTGTTTAGTTGTCTAGATCAAACTATACAATAATTCAATCACCAAAAATATGCCCGCTCAGCTCATCACAAAGAGAGAATCATTATTTTACAAAACAAATGAACCATTCCGTATTTCCATGTGAGTGGGATGTGTTCCCTTCCACGGAACCAAACACAGACTTTAGCATTTGTCATCCTATCCTATGTAGTCCAAATTTATATAAACTAATTTAACAAGCAAATATATTTAATCACCCCTAGTAGCTTAATGGTTAGGGACAAATTTCAGGCACGTAACCACACAACACTCCTGTATTTGATTTTTGGTACTAGTGAATCGCACAATAATGACCAAGGAAAGGCTGAAATGCTTTTTTGAGTCTTTCCGACCCCCAAAAAAGTGAACACTGTCAAAATTAAGTATTTACTTGCAACACTAACTGCAAGTAAAAACATGATTAAGAATTTACTTGTTTGTGCATCGTTGATTCGAAATTTTGATGATTTATCTTTTGTATAATTAAGTAGTCGTATTATTAATAATAAAAAAAAATATTTGTAAACGTGACAATTGGTTCATTGAGCCTTTGAGGTACAAATATGAGGTATTGGTATATTCTCCTCTACGGCTTCGAAAACCAAATCCCACAAAAACAAGTACAATAATAAAGCTATTTTTTAAACAAAAATAAAAGCACCATTAGTACATTTTTAATCAATCATGTTGTTGCATTGCAACACTAACTGCCGCGCCCGACAAGTATCTTCGAACCGAAACCCCCCAAAATCTTCTTCCTTCCAACCTCCTCACCGATCCAACAACTGCAACTGACTCTAAATTATTACGAAGCTCAGAGCCATGGAGGTCGAGGTCGAGGTCTCCGGCACGAAGCCCTCGGCCGACGCGAAATTGAGGAGAGTGGATTCGCAGCACAAGGATCAGCTCCGCGTGAAGAGGAAGACTCTGCAGGCGGTGCTCGAGCAGTGCCAGAGGGCGCTCGAGTCGCTCGGTACAACTGGGGGTGCTGACGAGGAGGATGATGGGTATGATGACGAAGATGACGACGATAACAGTTCTCGTGGTGCCGCCGTTGACGACGACCGCCGACAGGGAAGGGGATCGACGAGTTCGCTGGCTGACTGCGAAGCCGACGAGGTATGGATTGTTGATGATTTTGATGAATTTAGGGTTCTGTGTGGGAATTGGGAGGTTTTGGGCTTGATTTGGGTTGAATTTGTGGCCTTTTGGAGGTGAATTATATGCACATAGCTTGAAATTTGATAATTTTGGTTTGGAGTTTGAAATTGGGATTCAGGTGATTCTTTAGATTTTAAGACTATTTGGCATAGATATTGAATTAAATAGCAATCGAGCTGCTCCCGGTTCAATCTATGGTGAATGGTAGTTAATTGTGAGCTTCATACTTGATTACTATGGTTAATGGCGATGTCGAGTTTGATAACTTTGTCGAGTGTGGACCGTTATTTCTTATAAGGTTAGAGGATGTAGCTTTTCATGATCGACTTTCTCGAATTTGATAACTATGTTGCTTTGATTGGCTCTGTAAAACAATATATCTGCCAACCAATATGTAATCTGGCACTACGCAGTGGACGTCTGATTCCTCTATGCTAACCTCATATTATCTTTTTTTCGTGTTATGATATCTTCACTGAAGAAATTGGTGTTATCTTCAAAAGTTGTCTAGTCCAAACTGAAACCTCGTATCACTAGTATTGCTTTTGCTGTTAATTTTTTTATTTCCTAGTAAGGGATGGTGTACTCTTCATTATGAAAGCTTTCCATATTCTAACATAGATACCATGTTCATCTTGATGCAGTTATGCAACCTTCTTAAATCTAGAGTTGAATGCCCCGACTTCCTTCAAAAGCTAGAAAGTGCACAAGCATCAGTTCCGCAAAATATACCTGGTAATCCAAAGATAATTGCATTTTAGACATCGAGTTCTCTATATGTGTACTTGCTGAACTGTTCTTGTATGGCAGCAGAAGAAGGTAATACGTGGGATCTGGTTAGTGAGAATGATCTATGGGAAGATGAGGATAGCAAATTTGGTGAAGAAGACTACGTTCTTGTTAGGCAAGAAGATATAGTAGAGGGTATTGCATGCTTTATGGCTGCATACCTGTTGTCCCTTAAACAGACTAAGGTATCTTGAAAGTCTGCTGAGCATAACTTCATTTGATTTTTTCGTTTTACTACCACAACTATGATTGACGCAGATGCAAAAAAAGCAAAAAACACCATGATTAACGTATACTGAGAAAGTTCCACCTATATGACGGTAGTGTGTGCAAGCCGTATCCATCTTCGTTTTACGAAGAGAATGAAGAAAAGAAAAATGGAGATTGATTATTTATCCTGCTTTCTGGACATGCTAGGGTTAAACAAGCATAATGCTAATTGAAAATTTTGGCCCCACTTTTGGTCCTAGTTTCATCCTAGTCTAGTATTTGGCTTTGACCTGTATGGTGAATATATGGGCATGCATATGTCCTAAAATTTTTGTACTACTTGATCTATGATAGTGTTGGTTGGCCTTTTGATCTTTTACATTTACTACTATTCTTCCTTTTTGTTAGGGGTCATCTATGCGGTAGCCTATTTTCCTTGTATCTTATCAGTTATTACTCATAGATGCCACTCCCAATGTTTCCCTACATAGTTTTTAAATTTATATTTTCCTCACTCGTCAGACACCTTAGCATTATACCATCTTGACATGGATAAGATGCTAATACATAGTCGTAGCTTCTTGTTATTTGCACTTATTTGCTTCCACTCTCAATCTGTCTATACCAATTAGGTTTCTAAATTGATCCTTTCTGATTATGCCTATCATTTCATCTTGACATCTCATCTCTGTTAGGTGGATATTTAACTCTTGCTTTTGCTTTAAAGCCCATCATCGTTATGTAAAAGCATGTTTTTTTAATCTCTTTTAGGAGTACCATAAAGAATAGTTTACTTAGTGACATTTCATGGTCTTTTTGTTTTAGTCTATCTGGTAGTCTTTTAAAAAGCAGGTTGGTGTGTGATGTATGACCTAATGATCATTAGACCATGACAGACCCTAAAAAATTTAGCTTTCACTCCGTTTGTAGTTTCCATCTTTTGTCGCTGCTAGTACTTACATGTATCATTTACCGTGTGGATCAATGCAAGTAGATTAAGAGGTTCAAACCCTTGAATTCATAATTAATGAACTATTACGCATTAGCTCTAGTGTTAGAATTTTTAACTTGTTGACATGTCAATACCTTCGGCAGATTTTTTTTAATTGTGCATATGTAGCCTTTTGTGGTCATTTGAGCATGTTTCATACACCAAATTGGATTGGATGGAGGTATCCACTCTTTTTAATTGGTTGTTGTCTGATTTGCAGGAATTGACCCCTAATCAACTTCAGAAAGGTTAGTCTAAAACCTGTTTTTAAATTACTTCGTAAGTTTACACGGATATAGAAAAATCTAGCTTCAAATCTTGTAGTACTATATACATTTTGTGCTTTATTTGATTAGATTTGGTGTCCGCATTTTACAAATGGAATCTTAGATGTCCTATTCTTGTGTAGCCCTTAGCAAAACATTCTCAGTGAAAAATAAGAAGGGAAAGCTTCGTAAGGCATGGGACGGAAGTAAAGTTATTTATAATGTAGCATCGTGGGGGGCAACTGCCATTGGGTAGGTACTTACTCTCATAATGCAGCATGTTCTGGATTACTCTCATAATTTAACGATTTTTACTTACTGAACTTTTACTAGTGCAACTTTAGACAGCAATCGGTGTCTCGTTCCTAATTTAAATCTCTTCTTTGACCTCCCTTTTTTTCGTTATTTACAGGATATACCAAAACCCTGTAATCATAAGGGTTGCCACAAAAGCCTTCTGGACATCTTGCCAAGTTCTATCAAAGTTTCTCTAATTTGTCTCTACTGCTGGGGGAAGGGGATTTAGCGTTCAAGATTTGCTTGTTTTATTCAGTACTTTGTGTACTTCCAACGCAGCCTCGTGTTCTACAAGTCTGTAACGTTACTGGCGTTCGTTTCATGATACGGATGTGTTGATTCCTTGATGAAATTTGATCCTGTAAATATTTGTTTCTGGTTGAAGAGTGCGGTTCAAATTTATGTAACATAGCACTGAACGCGTGTTGGACATTTTAGATATTTCCTTACTGCTGCACGAAGTCAGGAAAGATGTCTTCGATCGCGTTAGGTAGGCGTTTTATGTAGGAAAAATTCAAAATGTATTGCTTTCTATGTTGGATGTTGAAGAAATAAAGCAAAGAGATGACTTTTAAGTGAAGCCTCATAACATAAAGCATCTAATGTCGTGAATGTATGTTTCTCCGAACTTGTTGGTGTTTGGTTAGGGATTTCTCTTGTTCAAGCAATTTGGACAAATCTTTGTCCACCAATCTTACGTGGGCAAAAGAATGATGGAACCAAAAGAGGCAATCTTATTTTCAGTTTCATTGTTACGTAGCTACCTACTGAACATAAACATTGCTCGCTCGGGGAGCTAGCAGTTGGGCAGCAAAATTAGATCTGTTATGTCACATAGGAAAAACGCATCTATAATGGAGGTAGCAACTCAATTAGTAAATTAAAGAATTAGCAACTGACCTTGTAAATACTTTTTTCATGTTAGCAAATCGTGTCTCGCAACATAATTAAAATGAAATATGAGCCCCGCAAGATAAAAAAAAGTTAAAATATTAATATTTTAAAGTGAGATAAAATTTGAAGCGTTGTTGAAGAGTGGGTTGGAGTGACAAACTTTTTAAAGTAGCATAAAACTGCCAAAAGGGTTAGCATGGTACACTTTTAAAGAAAATTTTTGCTAGCTCCTTTGCAAATGCTCTTGAGTCTAGTGGTATTGCTCGTCACATGTAAGTTAAAGGTCTTAAGTTCGATTCTCACCGAATTTGAATCAAATTGTTATGGCTAGCCTATTGTGAGGTTTAGTCTACTCTTTACCCCTTAGTGCAGATAATATCGAATGTATGAGTTTAATCAATAGTTCATTATGAATATGTTACTTGGTAGATACACCGTTAATATATTTGATACATTTGGGTAACCGAGCGATCTTTTATTTAAATTATTGTTTTGTAATGAAGATCTTCATGAAGATTAAAAAATTGAACGGTTCATCATAATTATGTTTCTTAGTAGCTCACCATTGATATATTTGATGATACATTTGGGTGACCTAACGATCTTTGATTTTAATGAGGGGTGATCTTCAAATGAAGATTAGAAAATTGAATGGTTCTGGTTATGAAACTTCTATGGCAAAGATATGTTATTTGCAAACGGGAGAATGAATATGCTACTTGATAGCTACATCGTTGATATATTTGATATAATTGGGTGACTTAACGATCTCTAATTTGAATAATTTTTTGTAAGGACAATCTTCAAATAAAGATTAAAAACTAGACTGTTATGATTATGAAACTTCTATGGCTAAAATACGTTATGTGCAAATGGAAGAATGAGTTCATTCCTAGGGAGGGAATGCAAGTATTATTCCTTTTTGTGTGTGTATGTTTATGTAAGTTTAAGGGAAAGAAAACTAATTAGTCATGAAATCCTGAAGGTTGTATTGTTTATTTGTTATTTGGAAAATGCTAAGATTCTCTCAAAGTAAGACTCCCTATGGACTTTCTCAAAGTGAGAATCTCTATGGATTCTCTGACACCTCACAATTTAACATTAATTTTTGTATCAATATTATAAAATATTGTATCAAAAACATGAGGTGACAAATAGTCCATGGAGAATCCTACTTTTGAGATAGTTTTCTTAAAATTTCCCTTGTTATTTATACCTCTACCCTTAAATCCATCAAAATCCATCTCCTATTACAATCGTAGCATATTTGGATTTAGATGTATTATTTAAAATCCTCTTAAATCCTAATTTGACTACATCATGATTTTAAGGTCTTTTAAAATTATAAGTGACTAAACCTGGATTTTAAAATCTATTAAAATACTATCCAATCCTATCAAATTCTAATTTGACTACACCTTCTTAGGCTAAATCAAACCAAATCAATCCGCACTCATCCCTAATCATAGAAGTATTTAGTCATAAAAACATAAGGTAAGAGATGTCGTTCAGTATTACGGTTTAGTAGTATTCCTTTTTACTTGTAAGTGAAAGATCTTAAATTTGATTATCGCTAAAAGTAAATTCGAATTACATTATTGACTTTCCACATTTTTAATGTAGATAATATTATTTGTTAAAATATATATATACACACACAACTTAAGGTGAAAAACAAAATAAAGGAAAAAGAAATGATTTTTAACAGTATTGTTTTTGTCTCTTTGTATAGACCGTTGTTTTCTAATGTGTATAAAGCACTGCAAAAGTCAACATGATGATTTCCGGATCTTTTGGTGAGGATAATAGAGATTTATAAATTGTATTAGTTTATTGTATATTATACAGTTAATTTTTGTTAAATACATTTCAAATTTAATTTTAAAGAAAAATATTTAAAATAAATTTTAATCGCACAATATACGATTTCAATTCCTAAAATTCCCATAAAAAAAAATCCGTCCACAATCCGGATTCCTGCCAAAAGAAATTGAATTCGGCCCATTGCCCAAAAGTCGAAGTTAGTTTGTGTCGTGTCGGGGACCCTACGAATGGGACTGGTCTGATTTGGGAGTTCGGAAATTGCCAGCTAGTCGAACTCAACTTAGGCGTGCGTGTTAGGGTTAGGGTTTGTCATTCGTGTGATATCAGGTGAGCGCTCCCTCCAATCCCGCTCCCGCTCCAGCTCCCTCCGTCGCAGACAACCGTCGGCCTCCCTGTTGCAAATTTACAATGGCTGCCTACGGCATAATCACGGCCTTCCAAGCGTCTTGGCTAAGATCCTCTTACTCCGGAGCCCATCCATGCAGACTGCCGCCATCATCATCATCAGTTGGGTTTCTCTCTCTGTCTTCACCATCATCATCAGCTGGTAAAATTTCGCAGCGCCGGCGCGTGTTGTCTTCGGAGCAGGAGGCCTCCGGAGGAGGAGGTCTGACGTACAAGGATGCTGGTGTAGATATAGATGCTGGAACGGCGCTTGTTGATAAAATTAAAGCCATGGCTCCTGAAATTGGATCCTTTGGGGGTATTGTCCATGATGAGATACTCGGCGGTACGTATGATTAATTTACGTATATAATCAATTAATTAATTAATTAATTAATGTTTGAATTTTGTTGTATGGTGATAATTCCTCAACAACAGATGACCTATGCCTTGTTCACGGGACGGATGGCGTTGGAACTAAACTTAAGCTTGCATTTGAGACTGGAATTCATGATACCATTGGCATTGATTTGGTAATCTTCCACCTCCGTTTCTTATATACATATTATTTTCTTTGGATAATTGCTTTTCCAATGCCCAGACTATATTCGTTCTATCGTTTGTTTGTTCGTTCGTTCGTTCAACTCCCAGGTTGCCATGAATGTCAATGATATCGTTACTTGTGGGGCGAAGCCATTATCTTTCCAGGATTACTTTGCTACAGGCCGCCTTGATGTTGATATTGTTGTGCGGAAGCTTCAAATATGAAACCAAAGCTAATACGGCAAAATATGACAAGACAAATAATCCAAAAAAAAGGGCACAAGGATTTATACTGGTTCGGCGTAAGCTTACATCCAGTTCCGAGACGGCGAGGAAATTCCACTAATGTCAAAAGGAGATTACAAATAGAGTTTTAACTCTCAAACCCAATAGCCCACATACACCCAATAGCTCTCACTCTCACAAAGAACAAATGGAGAAGATGGAAACATATAACAAATTCCTTCTCTCCCAAAAGCCACAAAATGTAGCACAAATATCTTTGATTGAGTGATTACTAACAAAGGAGGGGAAGAGCTTCAAATGGGAGAACCGAATGCTTTCCCTGGCTATCCTCCGCTCCGCTGCACCCCCCCGCACCCTCCCTTTTACCATAAGGCATAACAAAATGCCTTAATATAAAATGTTCAACTTTTTCCCATGGGAGAGCCGAATGCTCTCCCCTTGGATGCTTCTTTATGCTTTCTGCCCACTGCTCTCTGCCAAAGCACATGGGGTGCCAAGTTTCAAAGAGAAGCCGAAAGCACCACCTATAGCCAAACAAAGGAACAAACATTCAACAAACAACATGATGCTTCCTCATCATGATGTTCCTTCATCATTTTCTTATTTCTTGCTTTCGGCTTCTTTAACAAATGCAGCAGTTGCTGCCAATTAAAACAATAGGAAAACCACCCCGTGGCTTTCACATGGACCAAATAAACAAAACAACTTAACGGGCAATTGGGTCAATAAGTGGACCGCCACAATTTGGCCACCAATCCAACAATCTCCACCTTGGCCAAATTCCGAAAGCGTCATGATGAGCCAAACCACAAAATCCAACAATCTCCACCTTTGGGAAATTTCCACACAGCATCACAAAGAGTCGAATCAACAATCACCATAAGCACCCAAAGTACACACTAAAGACAACGGGAACTAAATCAAATTCCCCAAACTTACCAGTGCTCATAACAATTTCCACCTCGACTCAAACTGTACCAAAGCCAACAAAAGTAGACCATTTCTCTACCGTCTTCTCCAATTTTGCAAACCATAAGTGCCTTGATCAAAACAAAAAGTGAATCAAACGAAGAACTGTGATTCTTCAATATCACCAACAAAAGATCAAGTACACCATACCAAAGTTGGACACACAATGAACTCCACCTGCTCACAAACACCATGGTCTTAAACTACACCAATAGACTCATTCACATAGCATGGCACATTCTCCAAGTCAAAACTGATTACAAATTTGGCAACAAAGTCTCACATACCATATACGAAAATATGCCCTTCACTCAAGTTTACCATCATCACATGAGCACCAACAGGACAACCAAAATTTCAAATTCAAATAATCAGTAGGAGATCCAAAACCATACCTCAACTGGAGTCTTCAAGAAAACTAATTGCAGATGATGGAGACCAACAAACCAAATAGCAGTGGCAAACAAATCCAACCAAATGTCCATAGCCCAAACAAAGTTAGAAAGCATATAACTTGCCTTCTACACGAGGGTTCCACACAAATGTTCTGCAGTGCATGTGGTGTATCCAAAATAGTGTGGTGCCTCACTATCCAAACTTGCAGAACTCAACAAATTGGCCCTCACTGAATTCAACTTTACCAAAAAAAAGCAAAACCATACCAATATCTAAAACAATAAAAAACACCGATGAAGAGCAACTGACATAACACAAACATACATAGAGGCTACTAAGCAACTTTCTCAAATCATAACAAGGAATCCTTACAAACTCTTAAATCTCCATATGTAGTGGAGAGATTTAAGAGTACCCACAACACCAAATTCTCTTTCTTTTTCTTCAGCAGACCAATCTTGTGGCAAGGCTTCCACACCCTGTAGCGCCTTAAGCAACCCTTGTTGAACTAGCACAACTCGCATCTTAACCCGCCAAAGGCTAAAATCATTCCTCCCATTGAATTTTTCAATATCATATTTCACCGACATATTCGATGGTTTCATAGACATACTTGTACAAAGCCCCAAGTCAAAACCCAGAGCTCTGATACAACTTGTTGTGCGGAAGCTTCAAATATGAAACCAAAGCTAATACGGCAAAATATGACAAGACAAATAATCCAAAAAAAAGGGCACAAGGATTTATACTGGTTCGGCGTAAGCCTACATCCAGTTCCGAGACTGCGAGGAAATTCCACTAATGTCAAAAAGAGATTACAAATAGAGTTTTAACTCTCAAACCCAATAGCCCACATACACCCAATAGCTCTCACTCTCACAAAGAACAAATGGAGAAGATGGAAACATATACCAAATTCCTTCTCCCCCAAAAGCCACAAAATGTAGCACAAATATCTTTGATTGAGTGATTACTAACAAAGGAGGAGAAGAGCTTCAAATGGGAGAACCGAATGCTTTCCCTGGCTATCCTCCGCTCCGCTGCACCCCCCCCCCCCCCCCCCCGCACCCTCCCTTTTACCATAAGGCATAACAAAATGCCTTAATATAAAATGTTCAACTTTTTCCCATGGGAGAGCCGAATGCTCTCCCCTTGGATGCTTCTTTATGCTTTCTGCCCACTGCTCTCTGCCAAAGCACATGGGGTGCCAAGTTTCAAAGAGAAGCCGAAAGCACCACCTATAGCCAAACAAAGGAACAAACATTCAACAAACAACATGATGCTTCCTCATCATGATGTTCCTTCATCATTTTCTTATTTCTTGCTTTCGGCTTCTTTAACAAATGCAGCAGTTGCTGCCAATTAAAACAATAAGAAAACCACCCCGTGGCTTTCACATGGACCAAATAAACAAAACAACTTAACGGGCAATTGGGTCAATAAGTGGACCACCACAATTTGGCCACCAATCCAACAGATATCGCTGTCAAGGTAGACTTCACGCACGCACAATGCCTAAGCTCTTGGATTGCATAAGTACATTATCATGCCCAATAACTGCACTGTTCTTCTTCTTCTTCTTCTTCTTCTTCTTCTTCTTCTTAGGTTATACAAGGTATTCGCGATGGTTGCCAACAATCTGGCTGCAGCTGTAAACTTTCAGGCGGAGAGGTATTCGCGACTAACTAGTTATTTTGAATTGTGCCATTAATAATTGCCCTGTGACTCTGTAAGCTGGAGAATAAATCTTTCCCAACATGGGGAATAAATCTTAATGTTTGCCTCAATTTATACGAACTTTTTTGTAAGTTATACATGTGTTGCTGATAATTGCGTACGATTTCAGACTGCAGAGATGCCGGGTTTTTACAAAGACGGCGAGTATGACCTGGGCGGCTCTGCTGTTGGAGCTGTGAAAAAGGATTCGATCATTGATGGGAAAAACATTGCTCCCGGAGATGTCATCATTGGCCTGCCGTCCAGCGGGGTTCATTCCAATGGTTTCTCTCTTGTGAGAAGGTTGGCGATTCAGCTTCTTACATATTTAAAAAATTAACGTTCAGTTTTCGTTAGCTCTTTTCATACGATAGTATGTAGTCTATAGCACGTAGCTTGAGTATGCGATTAAATTCTGTCTCGCCGGCGGGTTGGTTGACTCGACTACTCATGGAAAAATATCCCTACCTTAGTACTGTTGCATCCATATCTTTACAGGGTTCTTGCTGATACTGGGGTTTCTCTCAAGGACCAACTGCCTGGGGGAGAAGGTGTTACATTTGGCGAAGCTTTGATGGTCCCGACTGTGATATATGTTAATCAGGTAGGGTCGACATCGATCAAACCCTACTTCCGCTTCCCATTATCATGCTCTGCAGATGCATATTTCTGCAGGACTAAATAACTAGCTGCTGACAATCAAAATGAAAATGCTCCCGTCATTGAGCTTTTTGTTAACTTATTATTGCCTTGCACTAAAACATGCAGGTCCTTGACTTAATAAGCAAGGGAGGTGTCAAAGGAGTAGCTCATATCACAGGGGGTGGTTTCACAGAAAATATACCCCGAGTGTTCCCGAAGGGCCTAGGAGCGGTCATTTATAAAGACTCATGGGAAGTCCCACCAGTTTTCAAATGGATCCAGAAGGCTGGAAGAGTAGAAGAGGCTGAGATGAGACGGACTTTTAACATGGGAATTGGAATGGTTCTTGTTGTGAGTCCGGAGGCATCCCACAGGATACTTGAAGAGGATGGGAATGGAGCTGCTTATAAAGTATACCGCATCGTTGAGGTTGTAAGCAGTCATGAAGGAGTGATTTATGTATAGTTGATTTTAGGTCAATTTAACTTGTGACTGTATCATGAATGTTAACTTTGTGACTCTATCTTGGGATTGACGGACCCCTATACAAATTTAAGCAGAGAATTTATGGATTCTAATAATGAATGTTGTTGTTTCCTTGGGCTTTTAGACAGAAGTCAATCCCATGACGTTTAATTCGAGCAGCAGGTTTAGAATGAGGAATCAGATGCGGTGCAACTATTGGTCTCGTTTGTTTCGTTTGTTCGTTCTTCTTCTTCTTAGGTTATGTAAGGCACTTGCGATGGTTGCCAACCAACAATCTGGCTGCAGCTGTAAACTTTCAGGCGAACGGTTCGCAGTCCATGGTGACCAGATGAAACTCAAAGCAGCACAGTCATATTGCCTTGAGGTTTCATGGCTCTCAGTTCTTAATAGTCGGTTAATATTATTTACTCGAAACATGAAGGATATTTCATTCGTCTATTAGATAGAAGTCAATCTGATGACGATGAAATCGGACCACTGGTTTAGGGGAACGAATCGGACGCAATGCAACTGTTGGTCTCGTTTGTTCGTTCGTTCAAATCTCAGTTGCAATTAGACTACTTACCTAAGATTTTGCTAATATTATCAAGGAAAGTGGTACTAAACATGCCCTAAAACCGACGTGTCAAAGGACATCGTTGCCACCGTACAACATACAACATAACATAATGAAAAGCATTACAACCTAGAAAGTCCAGCAGAAGCAAAAGCAGACGACCTTCCCATCGACCAAATGAAACCTTCTCCCTTATCAGGGCTTGTTATCAAGCATCAGCTTCCGGATGCAATCTGTGATATATTTCGCAACAGAAATTTCCAGCCAAAGCGTTCCCGTTCCGCGACCAAACTTGCTGATCTCGCTTTGCTCTATGCACTCCAACGCATAACCCTCCATACCTACTGGCACTTGAATATTTGTCTTGGACTTATAGTAATACTCCTCTATCTTAAAACTAAACTGGGACAGATCAGTAACGCAGAAACCATGGAGCTTTAATGGATCAAATCCTATATTTGACTTCAAGGCTTTTGCCGTGGACCTCATTGCATGCTCTATTGGTTGGGTCAGGAAGCATATGAAAGCATCAGCACAATGAAGGGCGATGGCATTGATCGTACGATCGATAATGGGAGAATTGAATGCTAGCATCTGATCATAAGTGAACTTCATAGCATTTCTGGAAATGCCTGCTGCCACTATCACCATTTTGGCACCTTGTAAACACCTCTTTAACTCCTCCACATTGCCACCAAGCTCAGCCTCCTTGAAGTCATCTTTACAGATTGATATGTCAGCGCCCGCAATGCTAACACTATCAATCAAAGCTCCGCCCACAACTCTTGAGAGATCCCCCAAAACAGCTACCTTGTATGTGATGGTAACATCTGGATTCTCATCATTTGTCTGTGTGCCAATGTTATTGGTGGCTTTCACCTCCAAATTGTGCTTCTTGACGACCAACTGAGACCGAAGTGACTGCTGCATTGTCACTTTCATTGGAACATTGACTTGCTTTGGCAGTGCCACCCTGCCATTGTGCCCAATACCAGAATGAATTCCTTCGAATCCGACCGCAGACATCATTTTAGCAGCCATCTAAACAAACAATTGAAAAACCAAGTAAAACACAATTCATTCATTTTGGCGTCTACATTTACAATAAATTTGGTAACTTAGCCATCCAACACTGCTAACTAATATAGTAATGGGTAGTAAGTCGATGGAGTTTAGGCATGCAAATATCAGAAGCCTATCCACTTAATCACTGACATTTTTGTAAGACAATCTAGACAAAATGCAGCAAATAAGGCTTTTTAGCCATTAGGGTTAAAAATGACGGAGGAGACGAAAAAGGAGAAAGCACGCACTGCTCTTGAGAGCTTTTCAAGTTTGTTTTCAAGGTGTTTTCTATCCATGTTAATAATAATATTTTATGATTGTTCAAAACTAGTTTCGTTTGCTTGGGCAAGGTCAAGAGCCATAGCAAGAATATGTAGTTTCTTTTCAATTTGCTTATGATATTATGCATGCAAGTTTTGAATTATTAATCATCGGTTTAAACTATCTAATTGTCTTGATGATTGGCCACCATTAGGATATTTAGAAAAGTAATTTGATGCAATTTTGGCAGAGGGATGTCCTGAAATTGACGCTGGCTTCTTGTGGTTAATATGTGTCACTTCTTAGAATGGACGACACATCTTAAGGGTTATATGGTTTTTCAAAAGGTTTTCACATAACTTAATGAGTCTTGCATGTTCACATTCAATCTGGACGCCACGGACAGGTTACATGTTAGATATACGTTCTATGTTGGAGGTTCCAAGTAGGATATATTTTAGGAAAACCTAACCTTCAAATATGCATGCGTAAATCGTAAGTAATTGGAAGAACTACATTGAATTGTTAAGGTGACGGTGGAACCTAGTGCTCAAATCTATTTTCAAAACTATTTTCTTTCGTTCTCTTTACTTTGTTAGTTTATTTAATTATTTTTAATTAAATTCGTTTTTAATATTTTAGGTAATAAAATCAACCTCCTTCAAACTTTGTTTTCAAATAATTAATTAAGATTTGGTATTTACATAAATTATTCATTCAATCCCTGTGGAGAACGACATTGCTTGAGCTGCTATACTACAACTAATTTGTACTCTTGCAAGTATTTTTAAATGTTTTTATCTCTACTTTTGCAGATGGTAAAAATCCCATCAAAAATCACTAGCCTCAAGGAAATAAACTAAGATATTTCTGTATTATTTTTAGGAAAAAATCATAAATCCTAGCTTAATCTTTAAAGCTAGGATCCTTGATGTCCAAAGCACCTAGAAACAGGAAAAATGAGAAAAAAAATCAAACCAATGTACCAAGTTTCATTGCTCTAATAAAAGCTAAAGCCTGAAGATTTTTTAGTAAAATCACTAGCCACAAGGAAATAAACATTGATATTTTTGTATTATTTTGGAAAAAAAATCATAAATCCCTGCTTTATTGTTTAAAGCTAGGATCTCTGATGTTCAAAGTGCCTAGAAACTAAGGAAAAATAAGAAAGAATCAAACCAAAACACCAAGCTTCATTGCTCTGAGAAAAACTAAAGCCTTATAATAAAGATCATTGAACAAAATCACTAGCCTCAAGGAAATAAACTGAGATATTTTGTATTATTTTTGGAAAAAAATGATAAGTCGTAGTTTTATTGTTTAAAGCTAGGGTCTTTGATGTCCAAAGCACCTAGAAAACTAAGGAAAAATAGAAAAAATCAAACCAAAACACCAAGCTTCATTGCTCTAACAAAAGCTAAAGCCTTTAAATATTTTTGAGCAAAATCACTAGCCTCAAGGAAATGAACTAAGATATTTTTGTATTACTTCAAGGGGAAAAAATCATAAACCCTAGCTTGATTGTCTAAAGCCAGGATCTTTGATGTCCAAAGCACCTAGAAACTAAGGAAAAATAAGAAAAAATTCAACCAATATACCAAGCTTCCACTGCTCTAATAAAAGCTAAAGCCCTTAAAATTTTTTTGAACACAATCACTACCCTGAAGGAAATGAACTAATATATTTTTGTGTCATTTTTGGGGGAAAAAAAAATCATTAACCCTAGCTGTATTCTTGAAAGCTAGGATCTTTGATGTCCAGAGCAACTAGAAACTAAGGAAAATAAGAAAAAATAAAACCAATACCAAGCTTCATTGCTCTGATAAAAGCTAAAGCCTTTTAAAGATTTTTGAGCAAAATTACTAGCCTCAAGGAAATAACAATGATATTTTTGTATTATTTTGGAAAAGAATTATAAATCCTAACTTTATTATTTAAAGCTAGGATCTTTGATGTCCAGAGAGCACCTAGAAACTAAGGAAAATTAGGAAAAAATAAAACCAAAACAACAAGCTTCAGTGCTCTGATAAAAGCTAACGCCTTTAAAGATTTTTTAGCAAAATAACTACCCTCAGGGAAATAAACAATTATGCTTTTGTATTATTTTGGAAAAAATTATCATAAATCCTAGTTTTATTGCTTAAAGCTAGGATCTTTGTTGTCCAAAAACACCTAGAAACTAAGGAAAAATAAGAAAAATCAAACGAAAACACCAAGCTTCATTGCTATAATAAAAGCTAAAGCCTTTAGAGATTTGTGAGCAAAAGCATAGCCTCAAGGAAATAAACTAAGATATTTTTGTGTATTATTTTTTCAAAGAGAACCATAAACCCCAGCTTTATTGCTTAAAGCTGGAATCTTTGATGTCCGAAGCACCTAGAAACTAAAATGAGAAAAATCAAACAACACAAAGTTTCATTGCTCTAATAAAAGCTAACGCCATTTTTGAGCAAAATCACTAGCCTCAAGGAAATAAAGTAACATATTTTTGGAAAAAAAAAATCATAAAACCCTAGCTTTATTGCTTAAAGGTAGGATCTTTGATGTCCGAGGCACCCAGAAACTAAGGAAAAATGAGAAGGGAAGAGAAAAAAATAAAAGCTAAAGCATCATGTTTCCTTCCTCTAATTCAAGAACAGCTATACACACACAAGCGTAGTCTAAAAAGATATCATACCGTAATTAGCAGCTAATCGAAGATCTCTGGTGTGCAATTTTGTTTCCACACCAAAGTGTATTTATAGGCAGGAAGGCGAGAGGGGCGGAAGGGGGGAGAGGGGCATGGGGGTGGGGGTGTTGGAGGGATCCTTGGCCATGCTGTAAGGACGTGAATTCAGCATAATCAAAACCTTAAAAAACAAGGGAATAAGAGAGACAGAGAGAGAGAGAGTAATGAACAGTGCCACGTGTCAGCATAATCAAAACCTTAAAAAACAAGGGAATAAGAGAGACAGAGAGAGAGAGAGTAATGAACAGTGCCACGTGTCAGCATAATCAAAACCTTAAAAAACAAGGGAATAAGAGACAGAGAGAGAGAGAGTAATGAACAGTTAGATTGGATCGATTTTATTTTGTCTTTCAAAAACTTTATATTAATTTTATTTGGGTAAATCACATTTTCATGCTTAAGGTTTGGGGTTTATTTCAATTCCTTACAACATCTTCAAAACATTTCATTTTCATATCTTAAGTACTATTTTATTTCAAAATAATACATCCGTTACATTTTTTATTCATTGAT